CAAAGTACCTGTCAGGAGAAACAGGAGTGCCAGGATAGATTATTGGCACGTGGCAATTTGGATGGTGGGCTTAGCTAGTCTGAAGGCAGCAGGGCCGGCCGGGGCCAGAAGTCTGGCTGGTAGCTGCAGCTCAAGTTCAGGATCTAGGGTAGAACAGCGGCCTGGGAAAGGCAAACGGTTAGTGCACGCCTCAAAACCCTCGTTTTCCGAACCAGCTCCTAGGATGCTTTTCTCAAACAGGATAAAATGATTCTTATTGGACATCATGAAAGGAGTTTAAATTGTGTTTACATGAAGTAAAAACTTTGTTTTGAAGAACCTCTTTTCCCTCTTCAAGACAGCCCTTTGAAAGACAGGGTGCTCACTTGATTGCTTAATGACTGTGAAGTACAATGTGATCCTTCAGCATTGGCACTCACTTCACTTAGGGAATTACTTGGTCTCTGGGTAGTCATTTCAGTGTGCTTTTTCAAAGTAGTGATGAATTTTTAGTTACACATCTTAAGGGCTTTTTCTCCCGTTCATCTTTTGGTGAAAGCAGGTTTTCCCTGAAAGCCCATATTGGTTTCTCTGTGGATCTAGAACACCACTGAATACACAGCTTTGACTTCTGGAAGTCAAACTTCCGTGGTTGCTCTTGAACCCACTTGAGGGGTGTGCGACTGTTTTTTCTGAAGGAGGTGAACATGGTGAGTGTCAGTGGGACGTGACTTGTCTGTCCTATCCGTTGCCTCCCGCAACCAGCCCTCTCGGCTTCTTTCTTTCCTGCCCCTGCATGGACCCCATGGCAGGCCCCAGAGCTTTGCATTCGCTTTCAGAGTATAAAAACCCTAGTTTGATATAATTAAACAACTTAATTTTCATCCAGAGAAAGCTTCTGCCTTTCAATCCTGCTCCTCTTGGCATCTATTAGGGGCTGTGCTTGGGGACTGACGTTGAGCTCTTCTCTGTTTCTCCACCTTTTCTCTTCTCTGCCCTCTAGACGGACTCTGTCTCCCCCAGGACTAGATTGGAGGTGAGGGGAGAAGGAACAAGAACATGCTCTCTGGCCTAGGGTATTTATAAATCTGGCATCGGTGCCCTGAGGTGTTGGATTAGTTTTTTATTGCTGCTGCAACAAAGTGCCACAGATTTGGTGCCAACATATTGTCTCCTAGTTCTGTAAGTTAGAAGTCCAGGTTGGCTCGTCTGGTTTCGTTAGGTTTCCCAAGGCAGAAATCACTGTCTAATGCCTGGGCTCTTATCAGAGGGGCTTTGGGAAAAGCTCTCTTCCAAGTTCATGTTGGTAGAATCTAGTTCCTTGCTGTTGCCGGAGTGAAGTTCCAGTTTCTTTGCTGATCACCTGTGCAGTGTCCTTAGCTTCCAGAGGTTCCTTATTGTCCTTCACGTGGGCTCCTATACCTCAGACATACCGAGTCCATCTCATGCTTACGATCTTCTGAGTCCCCTCTCCTGACCCCCCTCTCCCCCGCCCATCGCATCTCTTGCCTCCATCTGGAGTAAGTTCTCTGCTTTTAATGGTTCATATGTTAGATTAGGTTTACCCAGATAATACAAAATAATTTCCCTATTGTTACCTTAATTATACCTGCAAAGTCCCTTTTGCCACGTAATATATTTACAGGATCTAGCGATTGGAGTGTGGAAACCTTTGGGGGACTAATTTGCCTGCGAGAGGTATAGGAGATTATACACGCTGATTCCTTGCTCCTGGGGCACTTTTGTGGCTCCCCCTTCAGACTCTCACCCACAGCCCCTTTGACCCATGATGTCTCCTTTGT